GCGGGCGCAGGAGGAGCAGGAGCAGCGGCGGCGCCGCCCCAACTACGACCCCTACGGAGAGCAGGAGCCCGCGCCCGGCTCCCAGGTACCCGGCGTGGGGTATCGCGACATGCCAATCGCGATATATCGGTCGATACTGCGTCACGCGGCTCGATATCGCGGTTTGTCGCTCGATATCACGATACATCGTTCGGTAGGACGATACGTCGTTGGGTATCGCGATATATCAGTCGGCGTCACAGTACGCGGCCCGGTATCGCGACACGTCACTCGATATCGCGACATATCGCTAGATATTGCGACACGTCACTCGATATCGTGACACGTCACTTGATATCGCGACATATCACTAGATATTGCGACACATCACTCGATATCGTGACACGTCACTTGATATCGCGACATATCACTAGATATTGCGACACATCACTCGATATCGTGACACGTCACTCGATGTCGCGACACATCACTCAATATCGTGACATATCACTAGATATCGTGATGGGTCCCTCGATATCGTGACACGTCACTTGATATCGCGACGCGTCCCTTGACATTGCGATGCGTCACTCGCTATCGTGATGCGTTGCTCGATATCACAACACGTCACTCAATGTCACGATACATCGCTTGATATCGCAACACGTCACTCGATATCGCGTCGCGTCACTCGATATCACGTGTCACTCGATATCGTGAGGTATCACTCGATACCGCAGCATGTCGCTTGATATCACAACACGTCACTTGATATGACAACGTGTCACTCAATATCGCGTCACGTTGCTCAATATCACAACGTGTCACTCGATATTGTGAGGTATCATTCAATATCGCGACGTGTCACTCGATACCTCGACGTGTCATTCGATATCGCGACACGTCACTCGATATCGTGAGGTATCGCTCAATATCGCAATATGTCATTTGATATCGCGACATGTCACTCGATACCTTGACATGTCATTCGATATCATGACACGTCATTCAATATCACGACACGTCACTCGATATCGTGAGGTATCACTCAATATCGCAATATGTCCTTCGATATCGCGACGTGTCACTCGATACCTCGACATGTCATTCGATATCACGACACATCATTTGATATCATGACATGTGACTTGATATCACGATATGTCATTCGCTATCACGACACGTCATTCAATATCACGACACGTCACTCGATACCATGACACATCACCCGATACCGCGACGCGAGGCCCGCTATCGTGACGTGTCACTCCGTATCACAGTGCGTCACTCGATGTCGCGTCGTGTCACCCGGTAATGCGACGTGTGGCCCGCTATCGTGACGTGTCAAATACGTCACAATATGTCACAATACGTCACTCGATTTTGCATCGCATCACCCGGTACCGTGACGTGTCATCCAGTCCCGCGCCGCGCGCCCGTTGTCGTGACGTGTCACCCGGTCCCGTGACGTGTCACCCGGTCCTGTGCCGCGTCACCCGGTCCCGCGCCACGTGGCCTGTTGTCGTGACGTGTCACCCGTTGTTGTGACATGTCACCCGGTCCCGTGCCGCGTCACCCGGTCCCGCGTCGTGTCACCTGCTGTCGTGACGTGTCACCCGATACCGTGACGTGTCACCTGCTGTCGTGACGTGTCACCCGGTCCCGTGACGTGTCACCCGTTGTCGTGACGTGTCACCCGATACCGCGATGTGTCACCCGCTGCCGTGACGCGTCACCCGCGCCGCGCGCCCGCTGTCGTGCCGCGTCACCCGATACCGTGACACGTCACCCGCGCCGCGCGGCCGCTGTCGTGCCG